TTTCAGGGTGTTGGATTGACGTGGATTGCTGTTGTGCCACGACTGAAACTTCTCGCGCGGGAACTCAAGTCGCGCAATATTAGATTCTTTGTTCATGAAATCAGTGAGTCTTGCTGAAGCTGATATCAGGTTGGCCTGACTAGAGGCCGTAGGAACACGCTCTAAGGGTGTGTTCCTATGCCTCTTATCAGGCAAACCTTTGTCAGACTTGCATGGTACAATGCGCGAAAGGCTTTGGTTTTAGGCGACTTTCAGTGTGATGAGTCACGAGCTTGATACGAGGTTGGCCTGATAAGGGGCCGTAGGAACACGCTGTCAGAATCCCAGCCACTAACCACTGGGATAAAGGGCTTGTTTGTGTAGCGGGTGAGTGCGCCCATAACCCCCCAGGCCAACGTGCCTATAACCCTTCCCTAGGATCAATCGGGGATCACCAGTGGACCTCTAACACCCCCCCGCACTAGGATGTCCGAAGTGCACACACTGGGATTCGAACCCGAGACCTTCGCTCTGAGACCATGTCAGAATCCCAGCCACTAACCACTGGGATAAAGGGCTTGTTTGTGTAGCGGGTGAGTGCGCCCATAACCCCCCAGGCCAACGTGCCTGTAACCCTTCCCTATGATCAATCGGGGATCATCAGTGGACCTCTGACACACGCCCAAAGAGTACAGGATGGAATACAAAACGACCTAGCTAGCCATGTACTTCAAGGGGTGCATTCCCTTATTGCGGCGAAACTGAACCGTGCGACTCCAGACGGTTACGAAACTGTCCGGCCAGAATCCTCGCCACTGCTGCTGTCTGATGCCATCTTCCTTGACAATCCAAATGCTTCGTAACCGTACGACCCTTCGCGTCACTTCCGCCTTTTCGTCTTCAGTCTCGGTACTGCATGCTTCGATTGCTGCAGTTAGGAGTGCATAGTGCCTCTTCTCATTTCACTATTCGTAACACCCGCCACTGTCACGACGCGACCCAACTTCACAGTTCGGTTGGTAACCCGCGCTCCGAACCTCCGCCTCGACATTTTCCAACCTCGGCGCTAGGCCCGTAGCGCACCCCAATTTCAAGTGTTATTGTTACCACGCTACTGTAGCTTCGCTATATATCCTTCGCTCATGCCTTCGCTTAATGTAATGTTTTGCTTCGATAGTGCAATTCTAGCTCACTCACTAGATTGCACTCGTAGTAGTATCAAACTTAATCCGTAATGAAAACCCTTTAGTTTGGCACCTGAAAACACTCACCACCTTCCAGCCTTCTGATGTGTTACGAGTGCAATTGAGTGAACGAACGAGAAGTGCACTATCGAAGCAAGAGTACAATGAGCGAAGGCATGAGCGAAGAATATATAGCGAAACTACAGTGGTAACGGTAATGGACTGTGGTTGTCGCGTGACGGGCCTGGGACTGAGGTTGGGAAAAGTGTCGAAGCGGAGGCCCGGAGCGCGGGTTACCCGCCGAGCCGTGAGGTCGGGGTGCGACGTGCGAAGGTGGCGGGAGGGTTGATTTTATCAGGGTAATTACCCTGATTTCAGGGTGATTTCAGGCTTTCCACTTCGTGGAGACTGAAATTTCATAGTTATTGAATTTCCAGCCCTGATCCAATCAGAGTAATAGTTTAGCTATCCCTGATTTTGAGTACAGTGTAACAGACTAGGCTGTTAGTGGCCCCTGACTTAACAGAGTATCGACTATGTGGACCCTGCCTTATCGGGAAGAAGTTTCTCGGAAGTTTCCTTCCGATGACCCCGCCTTGGATTGATCGCGGTGATCCCCCCACATGTGCGTAATCCCCCCCCTTCCCGCTTTATCGAGACGAAGTTTCTTCGAAACCTCGTTCTGATACACCTACCATCGAGATCGCGTGAATCTGCAATGTCAGATATACTTTGCTGGGATTGGTCAAAATAGGCTCTGACAGCGGAAATCTGTGACTCGAACAGGTGTGACTCGCCCGTTCGATCGGTACACTCGCTCCAGAAGGAACGCCTCTGAGGGTACAGTCGCAGCGTGTCTGATGCATGCCAGCTGAAGAGATCCAATTGGGCATGGTAATAAGACAGGGAAACGTTACACTCGCACACCAGATAGGTCAATCACACCCGCCCTGCACAAATCAGTCGAGCGTACAGCCAGCAGGAAACACAGCGCGCAGACTTTATGGAGAGTGGGGATATTTTCTCCGGTAACAAAGCGCGCGTTACTACTCTGATGTTCAGTTCTCGACCCTGAACAATCAGTGTTAACTACTTCACAACCCTGAGCAATCAGGGTACTGCTTTTCTGGAAAATGTGCACCCATAATAGAGGGGGAAAATTTTCCCCAGAATCAGGGAGGCTTAAAATGAAACGTCAGCCCTGTTGTCGATGCGAGAGTCGCGAGTGGTAACGGTGCTGGCTGTGGTGCTACAGTGGTGTACGCGCTGAGCGGGGACGCTAAGTAAGGAAAAGGAATTTTCCTTACATGATGCTTTCCCTTCTGATGTCGCGTCACAGAATCGGCCATGCTTTTTTTTTTGGCAATGCAAGATCCACTATAGCAGTGCATACAAGCATTAACAGTCGTAACTGTAGCCGATGGGCCTAGATAGCAACCAGCCATCATACCCATCCTGAGACTTTAAGAATCGGCCATGTCGTGCTTTGATTTTCTAACCGTTTCATTTCGGTTCTAGGACGGTCAAGAGAGGTGATACCAGTAATCAAATCACACAACCAGCAGTAGTGAGACATGTGGCATCAAGCTGAACCCTAATTTTTTTTGCGAGACTAAGTCCTGCTGTACGCAACGTCCAGGACGCATCGTGCGGAACCAGCCTGAGACCTGGGAGATATATGAATATGGGCAAAAGGCACCTGAGGTTGCCGTCACTTCCGGATCAGGCTCGTGTTACGACAGCTACCATGACGATGCTTTCCAGTCGCGTCAGCTTTACGAGATATAAACCAGCGGCTCTCCATCAACAAATCATTATCTCATTCGCTTCATAGAGCCCATAAAAATATACTAGTGCCGTGATTCGTGGCAGTATTCGCAAGTCCGAACACTGAGGGCAAGCAGGCGCTATGGCGGCCATGGCCCACATGTCGCTGCGACCCGTGTTTGTCTCCGCTGGTGAGTATCAACTCTTACCGCTGTTCGTCCTCGTTAGTGAGTGCCCTGCCAGGCAGCATGCTTTCTGCTGTTTATCCGTTGCCGAGCTGCTTGCTCGCCAGCGTTCATATTTTCCGAGCAGATTCGCGCGAATCTGCTCGAGACTTGCTCCAGACGAGTCGTCCTGTTCCTCCGCTTGGCAAGGCGATGATTTTTTTTTCTTTCGTACGTCGTTCCCCGTGTGCAGTGCTGCTCTCGCTCTCCTGTAGCGCCATCGCCGGCCGCCTGCCACCGCCGCCTGCGGGGCCTAAACTCAACAAATACTGTACGAGGCCTGCTTGCCGCGCGTTGAAAAGCACGATGCTCCCTGCACCATATCCATGCTCCCTGCACCATATCCATGCTCCCTGCACCATATCCATGCTCCCTGCACCGGCGTTTCGTGCTGACTGCACCACCTCATGCTGCCTGCACTGCCTCGTGCTGCCTGTATCTGCCACCGCTAGTGTTTCATTCCTTCTTCCGCCCACACCGACTCGTGATGTGTTGTCCTTCCTCTTGTCGCGCAGACCAAGTATGGGCATCCACTACCCGGAGCGATGGTGTGGTATTCACTGAAGAGCTGCTTGCTAGAGTGTAAGTGCTGAGGCATTCATTCGTTGCATGGCGTGACTCATTAATCGCATCATCACGCGGTTGTGCAAGCGAAGCGACCCCCCCTAGAGGCAGTGGATGGAAGTTGTATCATGCCAGTGGTAGCAGCACAGTGGAGTTTTTTTAGGCGCCTCAAAAGTCATCTTTACACCCACAATCTATATGCCAGTGGTATGGTAGCAGCACTATGGAGGTTTTCCACTCAAGGACCGCGACATTTCCCATAAAGCTCAATCTTTTTTTTTTTTTTTTTAAACTAATTTTCAAAAGCCAAAACTGCCTGCCTCCCTCTGTCCAACCCCACTACTCTGCAGCACGGGAAGTTACCAATCGTATACCTACGTCTTCAAAGTCTGGGGCGCACCTCTCTGGAAGACACCCAATATTACGCCTCCCGTTTTCCGCCAAAAGCCCAAGGGAGATCTGGTGATCTCAATCCCCTGCACAGCCACGAGGGACAAATCGAGCGGCGTTTGGAGCTGCACCGCCTCGGTTACCAATGCGCCGCTCGCCTCGCCTTATGAGCCCATCGACCCGATCTTGCAGTTTCAAAAGTATGCGCTGTTCAATCGTTCCACGTCGATCTTTGCTGAGGTTCTAGTTGATGGCGTCCCGCTGAGGGGGGATGTCGCAGGGAGGATGTCGCTCTACTAGGGAGGCATGTCTTTGGTGCCGCGCGCAATTTGCGTCGAGTAGGGCATAACACCATATAGATTGGAGTTGCTACTTTTGAGCTGCTGCTTTGTGTCTGCTTACAGATCGTTGGGATGTTTGATATGTTTGCTTTGCTGCTTTGTGTCTGCTTCGTGTTGGTCCTGTTGCTTACTATTACCCAAACACAGTAAAAGCTTTTCTCAAACACAGTACTGGTATCATAAAAGCGTTTTTACATCATTTCTGTGAAAAAGTTTCGCAATAAAACAAAACCCATTCTAAAGGTGGGTCAACCACTGTAAAGATCAAAGGTGGAGAATTATTGCAGTGGGACAGGGAGGTACAAAGTTGGAGTAGTGCAGCTGTCCAGGAGTTGCTTGATTGCGAGTCCTATGATTCAAAAGCTCTGCTCTTGTCTGTTACGGTAACCTCCCGTTCACTCGTAACACATCCTTATGTACACATGCACAATTGACTGACACAACATGGTTCTATACTCGGCATGCTAAAGACTTATCTTCCATTCCAGGACCTCTGCACCATGTGCCATCTCCGCTTTGCACCTTTCCCAATCCCAATCGCTGCATACATGTCATCCTTGCGTATCTGTCTCCTGCTCCTTCCCCCCATCACCCACCCTCCCCGCCTCCTCTCCCACACCCACCTCCCTGCGACGCTCCCTCCCACCCTCCTCTCCACTGCTGCCTGGCCCCCCTGCGAGCTCCCCCCCCTTACCCTTCCCACGTGCATCACAGCCTGCTGCCTGCCCCGTAGTCTGGTAAGTGCTGTGGTCAGGTGAGTCCGCGGATGGGGCAGATGGGACGGCAGATGTGGATAGGGCGGCAGATGTGGATAGGGCGGCAGATGTGGACAGGGCGGCAGATGTGGACAGGGCGGCAGATGTGGACGGGGCGGCAGATGTGGATAGGGTGTAAGCGGTAGGAGGGGAAAGGGGTGGAGCAGCAGCAGTGGCAGCAGCAGCAGTGGCAGCAGCAGATGTTGTGCCAGCAATGGCTGTTGGAGGGGCGGCAGAGTGCGCTCGGCTGGCCTGACGCGCCCCCACCTCCTCCAGAAATCGCACCAATGGCAGGCTGCCACATCGGCGAGCCTCGTCCAATGGGGTGCTTCCCCACCTGGCGGGAGGTTGATTCAGGATGAAGGAGAGGCAGCAAAGGGACAATGGGAAGGAAGGAGTGATCATACAGGAGAGACATGGAGAGACATGGAGAGACATGAAGAAGAGGGCACAGCAAGGCAAGGGAGGGGAAGCATGGAGAGAGGAGGCTGGCTTGCAGCCGGACCTTCCACACGAACCTATCACGCATGGCAGCACCCAACTGCACAGATCTGCGAGGGCCGCACGCACCTATCACGGGCCGCCACGTCAGCGTGGTGGTCGACGAGGAGGCGGGCAACATGCAGGTGGCCCTTGATGGCGGCGATGTGCAGCGGGGAGCGCTGGTCGTAGTCAGAGGCGCTGGGATGCACCCCGTGGGACAGCAGGCGCTGCAGGAGGTCCGTGTCCGCTGCTGCCACCGCTGCACAGAGGACTGGGCCCGCCTCCTGTGGGTGTGAGAGATGAGAGAGGGGGAGGCAGGTGAGAAAGGCATACGGACGGATGGGTGGATGGACGATCCTTAAGATGGGCCTCAAGAGTGTCCGCCGCTGCCACCACTGCACAGAGGACTGGGCCCGCCTCCTGTAGGTGTGTGTACGGAGAGGGAGCGAGAGAGAGAGGCAGGAGTGAGAGAGAAACAGACGGATGGGTGGATGGACGGTCCTTTTGAGGTGCGTCAGCATGCTCTGTGTGACAGGAGGCGCTGCAGCAGGTCCGTGTCCGCTGCTGCCACCGCTGCACACAGGACTGGCCCCGCCTCCTGTGGGTGTGTGAGATGAGATGACTGAGTGAGGGCAGGAGGCCGGAGTGAGAGAGACACATGGACGGACCAACGCCGTGTGGGCTGCTGCCATTGCTGCAGAGAGAACTGTTCCTGCCTCCTGTGGGTGTGATCGCATGGGGACACAGGAGTAGGGATAGTATACTGCGCTACACCAACACCACGGCACCCCACGGAACCACACGGAACCACACGGAACCACACGGAACCATGTGGCGCAAGGGCAGAGAGACAGGCGAGAGAGACGGACATGGGAAAGACAGAGGCTGGAGAGAGGCACAGACAGACCCATGGATAGATGGATGGACGATCCTTTAAAGACGCCTCAGCATCCTCTGTGGGACAGGACAGCACACACACGAGTACACAGCAGCGGGGGGCTGCCCTTGCTCAGCATGGCGACCCACAAAGAAGCCACACACACGCCCCACCCAAAAGGATGGCTGTGCTCTCACCACGCCCCACCCTCACCCACGCCCCACCTGCAAGCCACGCACGCCCACCTGCAAGCCACGCACGCCCACCTGCAAGCCACGCACACCCCACCTGCAAGCCACGCACACCCCACCTGCAAGCCACGCACACCCCACCTGCAAGCCCACCGGAAGCACGCACCTGCAGCCCCACGGTGCCCCCTTTGCTGGTGAGGATGGCAGCGGTCTCATCGTGCCCCGCTCTGAGTGCCTCCAGCAGCGGTGTGGTGCCGAAGTTGTCCACCGCGCTCACCTGCGCGCCCTCCAGCAGCAGCAGCCGCACCAGATCGTTGTGCCCCCCCGCCGCTGCCAGGTGCTGTCAGGGAGGCGGGGAGCAGGGGAGAAGAGGGGGTTAGGGAAATTTGAGGTCGCGAGCGGATGAGAGGATGAGATCAGAAGCTGTTTACCTGCGCCCCCTCCAGCAGCAGCCGCACCAGGTCGCTGTGCCGCCCCTCTGCTGCCAGGTGCTGTGGGCAGGGGAGGGGGAGGAGGGGAGGGAGGGGAGGGAGGGAGATATGAGGTTGCGAGATGATGAGTAAATAAGATCAGCCAAGCTGTTGACCTGCTCGCCCCCTCCAGCAGCAGCAGGCTCACCAGGTCGTTGTGACCCTCCCCTGCTGCCAGGTGCTGTGAGGAAGACGGGAAGGAGTGGCAATGGGAGGGAGGGAGGGAGAGAGGGGGAGAGGAGGGGAGGGAGGGATGCAGGGAATTCTCCTCTCATGCACAAGTGTACACTTGCTGATAACGGAATCCAAGAAGCACGTGATTGAAGAAGTGTTTTGAGACGTCTCAAAACACTTCTTCAATAATGTACACTTGCTGATAACGGAATCCAAGAAGCAGATCTCATTCATGAAATAACAAGTGGCAGCAACCTAGCCAAACCTAAGCCGATCTCACAGTTCCACCAGGTGTGTGTGTGCGGCCGTCGTAGTCAGCTCTGTCCTCCTTCCCCAGCCCCTGCATCCTGCAGCTGCTGTTGCCTGCTGCACCTGACCCATGTCCCCTGAGGGCGCTGGCCAAGAATACGACTCACACGCATGCAGAGCACCCGCAAGGCGGCCCTACCAGCGGCGTGCGGCCGTCGTAGTCAGCCCTGTCCGCCTTGGCCCCTGCCGCCAGCAGCTGCTGCAGCTGGGCCATGTCCCCTGTCCACGCGGCATAGATGGTGCTCACTGTCAGGTCCGCCTCCTGCGCCGCCACCAGCGCCTCTATCTCCGCCGCCAGACTTTCAAACTTGCTGCCCGCCTCCTCCGAGCGCTGTGGGGGAAGGGTGCAACGGGATGGGAGTGGGTGGGCTCATATGCACATGGCCTGGTGTGCCGTGCGCGGTGCCGCCACCAGCGCCTCAAACTTGCTGCCCGCCTCCTCTGACCGCTGCGTGTGACGTGTCATGTGAGGGAAGGGTGCAATGGGCGTGGACTCGTCACTTGTAAGGATGCACACTTATCTAGCCCCATCTAACAACTGCATGCACCGATCTAGCCCCACCTGATAAAGGTGTGTGCTGATCGCGCTCCACTTAATAAGGGTGTGCAACCATCTAGACGCATCTAATAAGGGTGTGCACTGATCTACCCCATTTAATCAAAGTGTGCACTGCACTTAGCTCCACCTGTTTAAGGGTTTGCACGGATCTCCCCCCACCTGTTGAAGGGTTTGCACGGATCTATCCCCACCTGTTTAAGGGTTTGCACGGATCTACCCCCACCTGTTTAAGGGCGTGCACGGATCTACCTCCACCTGTTTAAGGGTTTGCACGGATCTACCCCCACCTGTTTAAGGGTGTGCACGGATCTACCCCCACCTGTTTAAGGGTTTGCACGGATATACCCCCACCTGTTTAAGGGTGTGCACGGATCTAACCCCACCTGCAGCAGGTTGTCCACCATGCAACGGCCATCCACGATGAAGAGAGATGTGACTATAGAGAGGGACTGGCGGTCGATGCGCAGTACCTGTAAGCACCCATGCATGCACCCACCCAAGGATGCACACATGCATGAATTCATGCATTCAGGGGAAGCAAACATGCATGGAGTGAGCACACATGGTTTTGTTGGTGTTGTTGTTGTTGTTGTTTGTTTTGTTTTCTTTTTTATTAATTATTATTAATATTGTTAGTAATTTTCCATTTGCAGTCACTGTTTATCCTCAGCTTAGCTCACAGCAGGCACAGCACGACCTACTTATATCGCAGTTCAGTTACCTCTCTGTCACATTTCAGCATATTACAGCCAAATTCCACCGGTTAATGTCACATTCCATCTGTTACAGTCAACGAGAGTGGTTCACCTGGCACAGCTCCCCACATGGCACAGCTCCCCACCTGGCACAGCTCCCCACCTGGCACAGCTCCCCACCTGGCACAGCTCCTCTCCCCACCTGGCACAGCTCCTCTCCCCACCTGGCACAGCTCCTCTCCCCACCTGGCACAGCTCCTTGGCGGTGACTGTGAAGGGCTGCAGTATGTTGCACAGCAGCGCCACCTCCCCACACATCTGCGCAATGGGGACGAGGAGGGACGAAAAAGGGGGAAGAGGGGGGAAAAGAGAAATGGATACACATGGAGACACGAGGAAAGTGCAAAGAGAGAACCGAGGAGAAGAAAGGGAATGACCATGAGAAACACCAAGGGACGGGAGAGGAAGGGGAGAGACACCAACCCGTGGCGGATAAGCAGCAGAACTACCACTTGCTCAGGGAGGACGCTCACATGCCCCACCAGACCACACATCCCAGCACATCCCATCACATCCCAGCACATCCCCAGCTATAAACCGCGACTCTCAAGCCCAGCAGGTCCCCGAGGCCCACATTGCCACTCTCAAGCCCAGCAGGTCCCCGAGGCCCACATTGCCGGCTGTGAGGGTCGCCCAGTGCTCGTCGTCCGTCCCCTCGCCGTACACGCAGGAAGCTTCCTGGACGGTGCCGGAGCAGACGATGAACATGTGCTCTGCGGCATCGTTCTTCTGAATGAGCACCTCCAGCGGGTAGTAGTACTCGGGCACGGCGCGCGCTACCTGTTGGGATGGGCGAAAGAGCAGGGAAAAGGGGGTGCAAGGCTGTTCGTCTGAATCAGCGCCTCCAGCTGGTAGTGGTACTCTGGGACCGCACGTGCCACCTGTAAAGAGAGCACAGCACCGCACCACACAGCATCGTGCCACACAGCACCGCACAGAGGGTACATGGCTAAATGAGCAATTCCAGCGGGTAGTATTACTCGGGGGTGGCGCGCGCCACCTGTAAGCACCGTACAGCAGCACACAGCACCGCGCAGCAGCACGGGAAGAGCAGGAAGAAAAGGTGCATTGCTGATTGAGCACCACCAGCGGGTAGTAGCATGCGGGCACGGCGCGCCCACCTGCAAGCACCACGCAGTATAGCAGGGCATGGGCGGAGGGCATATTGCTGCTCTTCTGAACGAGCACCACGGGCGCCACCTTTTGGAACAGCACAGCACCACACAGCACCGCACAGCACTGTACAGCAGCATAGGAGGAGCAGGGAACAGGGGGTACACGGCTGAATTAACACCTCCAGCGGGGTAATAATTCTCGGCCACAGCATGCGCCACCTGCAAGCAAGCACCGCACACGCACAGCTAGATTTGATTGACTGATGCACCTGTGAAAGACGTAGCGGCGGGCATCCGTGGAGCACAGCACCATGGCGTGCGTCCTCGTTGACGTTGTTTTCGAAGTGCGAATAAGAAAACTTCATTCCATACAGCACAGCATTACTCACGATCTGGTTGATGCACTCTCCCGAGCATTCGAGAAGAGGTAGCAGAGCAGGCCTCCATGGCATGTTGCCAGATGTCGCTTGACAAGTCTGAGTGTATACCTTTCATCCCACTCAGAACCACTCACGAGCTGGTTGATGCATTCCCCCGAGCACCCATCAAAGAGGTAGCAGGCCTCCACAGCGCGCTGGTAGAGGGCGCGCGCCACCTTGTGGCGGATGCTCAGCGGAAACTCCTCCATCACCTCGTCCTCCACCTGCTCCGTCTCAAACTGCAGCCTCACGTGCTGGTGTGTGGTGTGGTGGGGTATGGGTGGTTGAGTTGAGGGGTGGATGGGGCATGTTGGGATACAGTCTACAGAGGGTGGTGTGAGAAAAGCCCCCTGCCTCCTCCATCACCTCCTCCTCCACTTGCTCCGTTTCGAACTGCAGCCTCACGTGCTGCCGTGGTGGTGGTGGGTAGGTAGGAGCAGATAGATGGAGGGGTGATAGTGGGTGGTGATAGAGCGTGGTGAGACAAATGCCCCCAGCCTCCTCATCCCCTCCTCCTCCTCCACCTGCCCCATCTTAAATTGCAGCCGCACGTGCTGGTGTGGTGCATGGGTGGGTGGTGTGGTGCATGGATGGGTGGTGTGGTGCATGGATGGGTGGTGTGGCGCATGGATGGGTGGTGTGGTGCATGGATGGGTGGTGTGGTGCATGGATGGGTGGTGTGGTGCATGGATGGGTGGTGTGGTGCATAGGTGGGTGTCGTGGTGCATAGGTGGGTGTCGTGGTGCCTGGTTGGGAGGAACCAGATGGATGGAGTGGCGGATGGGACATGTGAGAAGGGAGATGGTGAGAGGAGATACCCTCATCCCCTCATCCTGAACCCGCTCTGCTCTAGCAGAGACGCATGTGTACACACGGGCGTGGATGGGTTGAAAGAAAAGAAGGCAAAAGGGCTGAACACTGCGAGCATGCAGCATGCTGCACCACCCATCCATGCACTTCCACATTTCTTTCTCCCTTCACGCCCACTCTCTCACCTCCACCCTCAGCCCTCTCACCCGCACTCCCACCCACCCCCATCCACCCGCACCCCTCTCACCTGCCTCATCTGCTGCCTGAGAGCGTGTGGCACGTGGTTGCGGTTCATATATTTGATCAGTGCGGACCTCTTCTCACTCCTTCCCCGCCACACTCACTCTCCCTACCCTCCACTCCCACTCCTCTCACAGTCTCACCTGCCTCATCTGCTGCCTGAGCGAGTGGGGCAGGTGGTTGCGGTTCATGTACTTGATGAGAGCGGACATCTTCTCCCGGTACCGCGTCGTGTTGGACCCCTTCACCACCATCGCCGTGATGTTGCCTGTGAGGGGCATAGGGCACAGGGCACAGGGGGCAATACGCAAGGAGATAAGGGGCAAATTGGGCAGCATAAAAACCCTTCACCACCATCTCCGTGGTGTTGCCTGCACGCGGTACAACGGGGTGCAACCGGGTGTGAGGCGCACGGTACAGTGCAATGGTGGCAGCATAAGCACCCCTTCACCACCATCGCCGTGTGTCGCCTGCCCAGGGCACGTCGTGGTGTGAGATCAGCGCACAACGAGCTGTAAGACGATGGTGAGGGCACAGTGGTGTGTAAGCTCAGGGCAAGGGACAATGACAGCAGCATACAGACCTCCCTGGGTCCTTGAAGGGGCATTGGCGGCAGCACAATGGACCCTATGATGTGCCACCAGGAGAGGGCGGAGTCCCCCCCCCCACAAAGGTTCAAGAGGATGAGGTGGGGTGCAGAGAGTAGGGCATGGCATGGCACAGCATGGAAGAGCATGGAATGGGATGGCTCACCGACGAGGTAGGCGGAGAGCACGAGGTCGAAGGAGATGTAGGCCATGGCGAACACCATCTCTCGCGGGTTCACTGGATGCACGTCGCCATACCCTGAGAGGGAAGTATGAGGCAGAGGCAGCAGAAGGGAGCAAATGAGTCGGACGAGCAATTGTTGTGGTTCAAGGAATGCGTACACATCGCCATAATTTGGACAGACGAAAGGCGGATGGGGCGACATGCAGCAAGAAACAGGTGGGAAGACCAACCGAAGCTCCTGGAGCGAGGACAGCTGGGGAGGACACTGTTGTCCTCTATGGTCTTGCCACCGTCACAGAAATCTGTGAAGGTGCATGGTCTGGGGGAAGGAGTGGCTGGCGGGTCAAAAGAGGGTCATCGGCGGTTGATTAGCAAGAAGGAACACCAGAAGCGGTGCGAGTGCGTGGCTGATTACCTGGTGCAGGCTGGGTATGACGACAACAGCGGGCGCGTAATTGCAGAGGTGCTGACCATGCTTAATGTCAAGGATTTTTTTCGCATGGCAAAGTTCCACTCAGGTCAATGTGCTTGAGAAAGAACTTTGTCATGCGCAAGAAATCCTTGCCGTTAAGCATGGTCAGCACCTCTACGATCATGCGCCCGCTGTTGTTGTCATAACCAGCCTGCACCAGGTAATCAGTCACGCACTTGCACCACTTCTTGTACTCCTTGCTAATCAACCGCAAATGGCTCTCTTCCGACCCTCGAGGTCTTCATACGGGCGTATGAGCACTCAACTCAAGCTGCACTCACCGACGGTGGCCATGGTGATGACTCAAGCTGCACTCACTGATCGTGGCCATGGTGATGACTCAAGCTGCACTCACCGATGGTGGCCATGGTGATGACTCAAGCTGCACTCACCGATGGTGGCCATGGTGATGACTCAAGCTGCACTCACCGATGGTGGCCATGGTGATGACTCAAGCTGCACTCATCGATGGTGGCCATGGTGATGACTCAAGCTGCACTCACCGATGGTGGCCAGGTGACATTTGACTCGATAGTCACCTCCTTTGCACTCACCGATGGTGGCCATGGTGATGACAGACCAGTAGAGCGACGTGAAGTAGCGCGTGTACAGGTCCATCTCCCGAAAGTTGGTGTACGTCAGGTCACCCAGCGTCAGACTGCCTATCCATGTGCTGCCCTCCTGCAAGGCCATCCAAATGCAAGGCCATCCAAATGCAAGGCCATCCAAATGCAAGGCCATCCAAATGCAAGGCCATCCAAATGCAAGGCCATCCAAATGCAAGGCCATCCAAATGCAAGGCCATCCAAATGCAAGGGGCGAGGATTGGCAGGCGTAGGCAAGTGCGCGAAAGATAAAGGTAGAGTTTGATTGTACAACAACTCAAGTTGCATTTTGCAGCATTCAAAAAGGGACATGAAGGCTCGCATGTGGTCCACTGGTGGCTTGGAGCTGGTTAGAGGACGGTGTGCGCTGCATATTATGCCTCCCACCCACCAGGGTGGGTGGTGGATTTGACCTATCTTTGCTTACACATGATCCCCACCCGACGAGGTGGTAGCTAGTAATAACTCCCACCTGGTCGGGAGGGTACCTGGTGGCTGTGACTGACCCACCTGGTCGGGAGGGTACGTGGTGGCGAGGAAGTAGAAGAAGCAGCCAGCCACGTGGGTGATGTAGAGCTGGTGGCTCGTGATGGCTGGTAATTCAAACCTAGTCGGGTCGGTAGGTGGTAACCCAAAAGCCCACCCACCTTGTCGGGCGGGTAGGTGGTAACTCTAAATCCCACCCACCTCGTCCGGAGGGTAGGTGGTGGCGAGGAAGTAGAAAAAGCAGCCAGCCACGTGAGTGATGTAGAGCTCGATGAATATGAGCTTCGCCACTCGCACTGCGAAGTAGCTCACATGGATGTCCCTCTGTAGCCTGGGTGATGGCGAGAGAGGAGGGAGTACGCAGGGGGGGATAAGGCAGCGTGCACCGTAGTGTGGGAAACAAAGATGCGCTTCACTCCGGCACTCGCACTGCGAAGTAGCTCACATGGATGTCGCACTAAGAAGTAGCTCACATGGATGTCGCACTGCAACCTGGGTTGTGGGGGAAGACGGACGGGTAGTGTGGAGAGTCGTAATGTGGAGGCTAAGAAATGCACGATGGGCGGGAGATATGCGAGCGGTGTGGAAACTCGATCTGACAGCTGCGCTGCATGACACACAACTAATGTAGGCGACCCAATGCAGCCTGGGGTTGGAAGGTGGGGCCTGCAGAAGGTGGGGCCTGCAGAAGGTGGGGCCTGCAGAAGGTGCGGCCCGCAGAAGGAACCATGTACAATGCCGCACGCAGGACACACCTGTGGAAGTAGTTCATGATGTGGCGCGTCCTCACAACGCGAGTCCACAGAAACCACCTCAACAGGTTGTCGCCCGCCTCCCCCCCTGCCAGCTGGCAAACCCGACAAGTGGACAAACAGTGAAACATGGGAAACAAAAAATGACAGCTCTGTAAGGGAAGGATGCTTCCAGGATGCATAGGTGTGTACATTGAAACTTTCACAGCAAATGGAAGGGTTGCCTCAACCTCTGTAACCCACTCAGGACACTTGCTGCTGCTATGTTGCAACCATGCTGTTTTTTTGTACTTCCACAAATCTATACTATTATGTATACATATATCTACAGAGAGAGAGAGACCTGGGTGGAGAAAGACGCGTCCTGCGTCTAGGACGCTTGCGTCCAGACGCAGCGTCTTAGACGCAGGACGCAAGAAGAGGGCCTTTAGGACGCATGAAAAGACGCATGCCCGGGCAGGGCAAAAAAAACCCCCGGGCAGCCGAAAAATGATGTTACAGGGTATGGGAAGGGGGGGGGGAACGACGATGCACACATTTGAGGCAAAATCGTCCCCTTCTTATTTTCAGGGTTTAGGGTTTACGAAGTAGAATTGTCTTGGTAAACCCTCTAGGGTGTTTATAATGGTCGAAATGGGTTAGGGGGGGTCGACATGACGCGAAATTGACAGTCGCGTCAAAACCCTCTAAGTCAATTTCACGCTGAGGCAAATTTTTTTTCCGGTCAGCCCGAAAAAAAAAAAAAACGGGGTGCGTCCTGCGTCTGGACGCGCGTCCTGCGTCTCTGCGTCTGGACGTTGCGTCCAGACGCAGGACGCAGCAAGACGCGTGCGTCTTTCTCCACCCAGAGAGAGACACAGACATATATCCTTTCAAGCGACTCAAACAGAAATGGATAGCAGTCACTGCAAGTTACATGATAACAATGACGTTACATGATAACAATGGCGTTACATGATAACAATGACGTTACATGATAACAACAACGTTACATGATAACAACGACGTTACATGATAACAACGACGTTACATGATAACGACGACGTTACATGATAACAACGACGTTACATAATAACAATGTCGTTACATCATAACAATGATGTTACATGATAACAATGACGTTACATGATAACAATGACGTTACATCATAACAATGACGTTACATGATAACAATGACGTTACATGATAACAATGACGTTACATGATAACAATGACGTTACATGATAACAATGACGTTACATCATAACAATGGCGTTCCTGAATAACAATGACGGTACTGGATAACAATGACGTTATTGGATAACAATGACGTTACTGGATAACAATAACGTTACTGGATAACAATGACGTTATTGGACAACAATGACGTTACATGATTACAATGACGTTACATGATAACAATGACGTTACATGATAACAATGACGTTACATGATAACTATGACGTTACATGATAACAATGACGTTACATGATAACAATGACGTTACATGATAACAATGACGTTACATGATAACAATGACGTTACCTCATAACAATGGCGTTCCTGGATAACAATGACGGTACTGGATAACAATGACGTTACTGGATAACAATGACGTTACTGGATAACAATAACGTTACTGAATAACAATGACGTTACATGATAACAATGACGTTACATGATAACAATGACGTTACATGATAACAATGACGGTACTGGATAACAATGACGTTACTGGATAACAATGACGTTACTGGATAACAATAACGTTACTGAATAACAATGACATTACATGATAACAATGACGTTACTGGATAACAATGACGTCACATGATAACAATGGCGTTACATGATAACAATGACGTTACATGATAACAATGACGTTACATGAAAACAATGACGTTACATGATAACAATGACGTTACATGATAACAATGACGTTACAGGATAACAATGACGTTACATGATAACAATGGCGTTACATGCTAACAATGACGTTACATCATAACAATGGCGTTCCTGGATAACAATGACGGTACTGGATAACAATGACGTTACTGGATAACAATGACGTTACTGGATAACAATAACGTTACTGAATAACAATGACGTTACATGATAACAATGACGTTACATGATAACAATGACGTTACATGATAACAATGACGTTACATGATAACAATGACGTTACATGATAACAATGACGTTACATGAAAACAATGACGTTACATGATAACAATGGCGTTACATGATAACAATGACGTTACTCGATAACAATGACGTTACTGGATAACAATGGCGTTACATGCTAACAATGACGTTACATGATAACAATGGCGTTACTGGATAACAATGGCGTTACTGGATAACAATGACGATACATGATAACAATGGCGTTACATGATAACAATGGCGTTACATGATAACAATGACGTTACATGATAACAATGACGTTACATGATAACAATGGCGTTACATGATAACAATGGCGTTACTGGATAACAATGACGTTACTGGATAACAATGACGTTACTGGATAACAATGGTGTTACATGATAACAATGACGTTACATGATAACAATGACGTTACATGATAACAATGACATTATATGATAACAATGACGTTACATGATAACAATGACGTTACATGATAACAATGACGTTACATCATAACAATGGCGTTCCTGGATAACAATGACGGTACTGGATAACAATGACGTTACTGGATAACAATGACGTTACTGGATAACAATAACGTTACTGAATAACAATGACGTTACATGATAACAATGACGTTACATGATAACAATGACGTTACATGATAACGATGACGTTACATGAAAACAATGACGTTACATGATAACAATGGCGTTACATGATAACAATGACGTTACTCGATAACAATGACGTTACTGGATAACAATGGCGTTACATGATAACAATGACGTTACATGATAACAATGGCGTTACTGGATAACAATGGCGTTACTGGATAACAATGACGTTACATGATAACAATGGCGTTACATGATAACAATGGCGTTACATGATAACAATGACGTTACATGATAACAATGGCGTTACATGATAACAATGGCGTTACTGGATAACAATGACGTTACTGGATAACAATGACGTTACTGGATAACAATGGTGTTACATGATAACAATGACGTTACATGATAACAATGACGTTACATGATAACAATGACATTATATGATAACAATGACGTTACATGATAACAATGACGTTACATGATAACAATGACGTTACAAGATAACAATGGCGTTACTGGATAACAATGACGTTACTGGATAACAATGACGTTACTGGATAACAATGACGTTACTGGATAACAATGACGTTACATGATAACAATGACGTACATGATAACAATGACGTTACATGATAACAATGACGTTACATGATAACAATGACGTTACATGATAACAATGACGTTACATGATAACAATGGCGTTACATGATAACAATGACGTTACAGGATAACAATGACGTTACATGATAACAATGACGTTATATGATAACAATGGCGTTTTACATGATAACAATGACGTTACATGATAACTATGACGTTACATGATAACAATGACGTTACATGATAACAATGACGTTACATGATAACAATGACGTTACATGATAACAATGACGTTACATGATAACAATGACGTTACATGATAACAATGACGTTACATCATAACAATGGCGTTCCTGGATAACAATGACGGTACTGGATAACAATGACGTTACTGGATAACAATGACGTTACTGGATAACAATAACGTTACTGAATAACAATGACGTTACATGATAACAATGACGTTACATGATAACAATGACGTTACATGATAACAATGACGGTACTGGATAACAATGACGTTACTGGATAACAATGACGTTACTGGATAACAATAACGTTACTGAATAACAATGACATTACATGATAACAATGACGTTACTGGATAACAATGACGTCACATGATAACAATGGCGTTACATGATAACAATGACGTTACATGATAACAATGACGTTACATGAAAACAATGACGTTACATGATAACAATGACGTTACATGATAACAATGACGTTACAGGATAACAATGACGTTACATGATAACAATGGCGTTACATGCTAACAATGACGTTACATCATAACAATGGCGTTCCTGGATAACAATGACGGTACTGGATAACAATGACGTTACTGGATAACAATGACGTTACTGGATAACAATAACGTTACTGAATAACAATGACGTTACATGATAACAATGACGTTACATGATAACAATGACGTTACATGATAACAATGACGTTACATGATAACAATGACGTTACATGATAACAATGACGTTACATGAAAACAATGACGTTACATGATAACAATGGCGTTACATGATAACAATGACGTTACTCGATAACAATGACGTTACTGGATAACAATGGCGTTACATGCTAACAATGACGTTACATGATAACAATGGCGTTACTGGATAACAATGGCGTTACTGGATAACAATGACGTTACATGATAACAATGGCGTTACATGATAACAATGGCGTTACATGATAACAATGACGTTACATGATAACAATGACGTTACATGATAACAATGGCGTTACATGATAACAATGGCGTTACTGGATAACAATGACGTTACTGGATAACAATGACGTTACTGGATAACAATGACGTTACATGATAACAATGACGTACATGATAACAATGACGTTACATGATAACAATGACGTTACATGATAACAATGACGTTACATGATAACAATGACGTTACATGATAACAATGGCGTTACATGATAACAATGACGTTACAGGATAACAATGACGTTACATGATAACAATGACGTTATATGATAACAATGGCGTTTTACATGATAACAATGACGTTACATGATAACTATGACGTTACATGATAACAATGACGTTACATGATAACAATGACGTTACATGATAACAATGACGTTACATGATAACAATGACGTTACATGATAACATGTCAGAATATTATGCTCTAGCCTGTAGTGGGGTGCTCTATAGCGAGTACAACCCTTCTAGGGTTTGCTATTTGTATCCTCAT